GCTTGGCTTCTTATGGCCGGAGTCGGGCTGCCGAGTCGTTGCCCGGTTCCAGAGAAAGGCTTGTATTTTGGCTTAGGCTTGACATATTTTTCTTCATGCTGCTTGATCTCGACGTCGACTTCTTGACCTGGTTGTACATTCATGATCGATAGCGGGGCACGGCCCTGTCGGATGCCGTCAAGAATTTCCGCATTTCGCGGGTCATCTGAACGGAAGAGATCACCGTCGTCGACAGAGAATCCATCCGCCCAAAAGTGAAGTGTTCTTTGTACTCTCTGTGGTCTCTGTAGTGTAGGCGCACTCGGGCTTTCTATGACCCGGCTGGGGGCGTCGTCACCGCCAAGGGTGCGTGCAGTGCCGGTAAAGTAGGATCGTCTCGTCTGGGGTTCGTCAGAAGACGGCAGCTGAGTCCTATACGTAGTCGTCAGTGTCATAATTTGAGTATAATCATCAGGTGAGACTAAGACTCACTTTCTGGCCTTCTCGATGATCTTTCTCTTGAGATCATCCGGGTTCTGCACAGCTAGTCCTGACTTCTCACCACCAGCAAAAAAATCTTGATTCTCCGTGTCATCTTCATCGGACGAATCACCGCCTCCAGATGCAAAATCCCCGAGTGTTGCGAATCTCTTCTTAGAGGTGGGTTTGCGCGATGAAGAGGAAGATTGCTGCGGTGTAGCAGTTCCGGACTGAGAAGAGCTGCCGCCAAGTGACCGACCTGCTGATGCAGCTGAATCTGCACCTCCAAGAGACTGACCACCAACTGCGTTCGCACCTTGCAGGGCTTCGTCTTGTTCCGCGAAGAATTCTGTCACCGCTGCCTCGATATCCCACCCATTGGCTGCCAGGTACTCTTGCGCCTTCGGATGTAGATGTCAGCAAAAGAGTTCGTCAGACATCACCACAAAATCAGCGTGAAGGGATTACCTCTGCAGGACGCGTGCCTGTCATTGCACAGAACTGAGAAACCACCTCATCGTTCTCGGCGGGGTTACGCTCCATCTTGGAAGGATATGAGTAGACAGCTTGGTTCAGCTATCGAGCGCTGGGTCTGGTGTAAAGAAAGATGCGACTTCTGAAGAGCACCAAACTGAGATATTGAAAACAGAATGAGATCTATGGTGACCACGTAAAAAAGAATTAGTGAATGCCAAACTATCACTGGAGCTCCCGATTTCACTAAAGGACAAACACCGCGCTGATGAGGATACGTCACTGTTGCCTGATTGGTCATCCGGAAGAAAAGATCTCCCGGTGTACGGAGTTAGTAGATGTTGATGCCCCAGGTGCTGTGCTCTGTTACTTACAATCTGCGACTTGCAGTAGCTTGAGTGCTATTAAATTTGGATCTCAAACATTAGTACAATCTGCGACTCCTGTATCTACTGCGTGTATTTATCCCTGGTAGCTTCGTCCGTACTCGAAATATGGTCGCTTCATCAAGCTCCGCCTATTGGCAGGGAATACTGCTACGGTTACGGATACTCTGTGTTACTACCAACAAAAACAAGAGGCAGTTGGCCCTCAGCAAAGCACCCTAACCTCATGAAACTTCATCCAGCATAAATATCTTAAAAGGTAGATAAGTTCCATTATAAGCATTTAATTTCAGCTAGAAGTATGGGAAGTTGGGAAGTCCTCCTCCGTTTACTTTTGACCGACATTAATATTGCGTAACTCAGTACCTTACTATTCTTGCTTACATAACCTTTTGGAGTCAGGTGTAGGCGATTCCGCTTCCTTTCATCTGGCTGCGACAACTACACCATCTCGCCCATCCCGTTTCTCATGCAAGGTACAAAGCGATATTGATTTGGTACCGGAGAATTAAACAGCGCCAGGTATATCCTCGACAGTCGTCGGATTTCTACCGTCTACGAGCTCCTGTTGCTTCGATTCCTGTCAACCGGCGTTGTTCTCCCCGCAGCATGGCCGACGAACACTCCCACTCAAGGGTTGAGCTCTACGACTCCAGTCTGACGGTACCCTCGGACTCGGAAATCTACTCTGCCAATCATGAAGTTTCATCGCCTATGTCGACATCCAGTTCGCCCTTGATTCTGTATAAGCCTCCGTCCATCTGGGGCATCTTGCGGGGGGCGGCGATCAATTTGATCCTCCCTTTTGTCAACGGGTTGATGCTGGGATTTGGGGAATTGTTTGCACATGAGGCTGCTTTTCGTCTTGGCTGGACTAACACAAAGGTACGTTCCATGAAGTCGCTCTGAGGGGTACAGTATCTGTCTCGCTGCAATTATCCGCCAATGCACATTGACTCATCAACGAAACTGGACTGATCATTGTCTCCATCTAGATTTTCCCTACTTATCGACGGTCAAGGCCCATGGGACCAGGCATGGAGATTCGCGACATTCCATCGCGGCGCCAGCCTAGAGCCGGAAGTCTGCAAGATACTGCATCATTGGAGTGATTGCGCGCCTTCAGGCATCAGATATAGATTTCTCTCTGCGCAAATTCTTGATATCCAATGTTCATGATCGATTAGTCGTTTGTTCATTTCCGTGTCTTCAGCATGGGTTGCGTATATGTGTACATAGATTCCAAAAGGCACCAGCAGTAGGTCAGATTGGACGGCGTCGGGCGAAGCAATTCGACTTCTGCATATCGAAGACACAGTCAATCTTTTTCTGTGCATTGCGAGTATGGAAATTTCATCTAGTTCAAATGATATTCTACCCGGACGACAATTCTCTTCCTCTCTTGTGCCTCAGGTAGTACATATTTGGACGTATTTTGATATCAGGATCAGGAACAAACTCCGGCCGCCCGGCAGAAAGCAAGTCTTGGCGCGAAAAAGTCCAATCTCCGCGAGTCGGCCGCGGATATAGCCGTTGTTTTCTCACCCTAAACCGCCGTCGCTCGTGAACCACTAGGTATCTCCTGCGGCCAAATATCACAATGCTAGCAGGGGCTGGTTTGAAGGGGCGTGGTGGGATTCCCATCATTGCTCGACAACATTTGACTGCTTTCCCTCGCTCCAGCCGATCGGTTTGTCCCCCGATATCCTCTTCTCCGCCGGCAAGCAAGTAGACGCTTGGCTGACTAGAGTCGGTATACTGCAGATCTCTTCGTTCAGACCCCAGAGCTCGAGATCCCCTGTACGATATGGAGGGCCTGCCCAGACACTTTCCAGAAAAATATCATGGAAGCCCGCCGCCTCCATACCCGGAGTCATGTCCGCAAGATTCAATTCGACATCTTCCGCAACCGATGCCACTGCGAGTCAGCATCTGTCGGACGCTCCTACCGATATGGGTGTACCTGACCTTTCTGATCTGTCTGCTGCTGATCTCAGCTCGATCCCCGAGCACATCGGATACCTCAAAGACCTAGGGCTCGACTACGGCTGGGGCCCGTCGGCAATCGTTCAGTTTCTCATTGAACATATCCACATGTGGGGAGGCTTGCCCTGGTGGGCAAGTATCGTGGGAACCGGTCTTCTCCTCCGATTAGCACTTCTGTATCCTACGCTGGGCGCTGTGGACACCTCGACCAAAATGCTCAATGTCAAGCCCATCACGGAACCTCTGCGTCAGCAGATGATCGTGCGCGGAAAGAATGGCAACCAAATGGAAATGATGAAATTACGAGCCGAAATCCAGAAGATTCACCAGGAGCAAGGTATCACGGCCTGGAAGTCCTTCATTCCCATGCTTCAGATCCCCTTTGGTTTTGGCTGCTACAGAGTCGTCAAGGGTATGGCAGCCTTGCCAGTGCCTGGGATTACCATGGAATCCGTTGCTTGGCTGAAGGATCTTACCGTTGCCGATCCTTACTTCATACTTCCCGCTGCGTCGTCTTTGTTCATGTACCTGAGCATCCGGGTAAGTCGCGTTCATCCTTCGGGCTACTGGCTTGATTACTAACTCGGAATGTCTTCGTCCTGTGTAGAAAGGAGGCGAAAATGGCGTGAACCAGCTCCAGGGCACAACATTTGGCAAGCTTTTCATGTTTGGGTTGCCTGCCATCTCCTTTCTCTTCATGTCCTTCTTCCCCAGCGCCCTCCAGCTCTATTTCGTAACGACTGGTCTATTTGGTCTGGGCCAAGCCTACCTTCTCGGCTCTGACAGCTTCAGAAAATCGATGAATATCGCCCTCCCTGTAAGACAGCCTAAAAACGGACAGTCCCCGGGTCATGATGATTCGCAGCAGAGCAAGTCGATCCGCATGCTTCGTGAGCATCTGGAGGCCGAAAGGGCCAAGTTGGTTCAGGAACAGCACAAGTCGCCTGATAGTGTGGAGATTAGCTTTATTGATCGCGCCTTGAACAACCTGAAGGAAGCCAAGGACAACATCAAGCGTGAAACGGCGGAGAAATTGGACGCCGTTCGTGGTCAGGGCCCCGTGAAGAACGCGGATGGGACTGTCGCTGAGCCTCCTCGGCTTGGCGAGAAGGATCTCAAGTTGGCTGCCGACTACGAGAGGAGAAGGAAGGAGGAAGAGGATTGGAAGCGGGAGGAGAGGAATCATGCTCGCCGCGAGGCTCACCTGAAGGCCTTGGAGCTTGAAAGAGAAAAGGCGCGCGCGGCGTTCAAGGTCAAGCAAAGGTGAGCGTCGGGGTAATTCTTTCTTCTTGGTTCCACTGTATCAGGTATGACGGTCTATCTGCAACTGTACAATATGAGGCGCTTTAATCTTCATGTGCTATACGACGTATTTTCCTCTACGGTAAAGAATCTTTGATTGGAATACAGTATCTCTCAATTCGTTATCACATTGACTACCTGGCTAAAGAGGCTGCTTTGTCAGCAGGTCTGGCAGGTCACCAGAAGCTTCGCATTCAATCTCAGCTCCAGCAACAAGCAGGCATCTTTCATTTTGAGACGACACCAGATACCACGAAGGCCAATGCCAACATCCTCACCTGAGACACAGGCTGAAAGAGGCTCGTCAAAATGTGCAAGAGCGGAATGACACAAGCAAGAAAAAGTGGCTATTCCTAGGACCATCGCCCAAGAATACAGGATCAACGACCACGTCTATTCAGGGTTTTCGTCTCCAACGGGTTCATGCTCATGCTCATCCAACGTGGTCTCAGTCTGTGCGAGTTCCCGAGCAGCCTCAACCCGAGCAAGCCTCTTCTAGTTATTGTCAATCAATGCCGTTTTGGCAACTCTGAGGTTCACATCCGTACCTCGATGATTAACTTGATCTGCGGGTAGAAGACCTGGTAATCTTGTTCGGCACTCATCTCATAAGGAGTTAGCCCTGGATCCTGTCAAATTCTCGAAGTTGTGGCTGTATACGTACCGGGATCAAAACGTCTTTGAAGCTTTCCAAAGTGAGGAGATCCCCCAGCTCTTGATAATACCTTACCATTCCGTCTCGGAAGGACGTGAGGCGTTTGGTACCTTCATCAAAGGTCATAGGGTTTTGCATGGCGCGCTTTTCAAGTGTGTCTTGAGTTGCGTACAGATGAAAAGCTGACACCACAGTGAAGGTCTAGACAATCGCAAATCAGCGTCCGGTAATGATAGAGTGAGAGCAAGGCGGATGGATTATCACAGAGCCAAGGGTCACCGGCCACTCACTCCGTGCAACAGAGTGAAGTCCTCGGAGCAGTGTGGCCATCCGTCAATGATGAAGGTAGTCGCTCCAAACTCCATGTGCCTCAGAATTTCCATTTTCACGAGACGAAACAGTAACTCGCTCGGCACAGCTCCCTGGGTCTCAATGGCCTGCACAACCGCCAGCCAAGCCAGGTATGGGCCTGTCTTCTCGAGTCGCTTGATCGTCTGATCGGGACAGATGTGAATGAATCCAAGCTCTGCGGCCACGTTTGCTGCGGCAGTGCTCTTTCCCGCAGCTGGGGGGCCTACGGAGATACAGACCTCATTAGTTGGTAACTATATCACCAGACTGGGAAGGCTCTTGAGCTTGCACTTTGGAATGAGATCTATCTTACCGAAGAGAAGAATGAGCTTTGCACTCTTGACGTCCACGTCCTCACTGGGAGCGGCGTCGTTCGGGACCTCAACAGGGATGAGAATGCCTCCTCGGCGATAGGATTCTTCATCGTACGTCCAAGTGTCTCCATTCTTGGAGGCGAGCTCGGGCAGAGGACGTTCCACGCGCTGGACGCGGGTCCTTTTCGCCAGGGGAGTGTCATTCTCCTCACTCTGGCTCTGAGCAGGTTCCTCTATCTTATGAATTTCCTCAATCTTATCGGACATTTTGGATAGAGGTCAACAAGGGAATACAGTAAGACGAAGAAGAAGACAAAGAAAAAGGGGATTTCAAGTTAAAGACCTGTTTGCACGTGCTGAGCGTCCAAGAATTGAAAGAGACAAGTACGGCATCCAGGAGGAAGAGATGAAGATGAATGAGCAGTGCAGGCTAGGGTGCTTGATTCTCGCATCTTCACTATGAAAGAAAACCCTTCACTGCCATGGAGAACCGTCAAATCAGGCGAGACGATTTCGCTGAGTCGTTAGATGCGCGTATCGCATCGTCAGGCAACGAGCATAACTGCTACGCCGAGCCCAAAAGCTCTTCTCCCACAACAAACGATGTGTTCTGACAGAATGAGACAGAAAGACGATTTCCCTTCTCCCTGAGAAACTTATCACTACAGCATAGCAGCGTGCAAATCCTTTATCCCAAAGCATTCAGTCCTGTGAGCATCATCACAGCTTCAGCTCTATCACGCCAACCCAGAGCTCATCGCCAACTGTTTACCTCACACTCGTTTTCTCTTTAAGGGTAAGCACTTGCGAAGCACCCCCAGTCCCGTAAGAGACACTGACCCAACAGTCGCCAGGCACAATGAACACCACATCTACCGAGCTAATCGCTCTCAGATCCCCATTGACCAAAAACGCTAGCCTGGTCTTCTTCCTCCATACAGCCGCGAAGATCGTCATCCTCCTTGCAATCGTGGATGTCCTGCGAGTGCTCATCCGTCAGATGCAGGTCTATCTCGACCAGCATGGACGCGAGCACCACGAGATCCATGGCCCGCAGAGAGTTCGTCTCGTCCGCCGCCGTCGCCGCTTCGACGATGGCGTTCTTGGATTTCCTTTCTAGGCCTGGGTTGGCAGTGGCTCGTTGCGTCCGACTAGGTAAGCTTGGTTCTATGTGCTATGTCTTAGAAGAGGTCTTTAGCTGACTATCTTGAGGATAGGCTGATTGACTTGGCACTAATGGATTGTGGTCATTCGAGAAAGAGGCTTTCGTTGTGTAAGGAGATATTGCACCGCAGATGAGTATCAATCGTTCAGGGAGTTTGGAAAATAATGTATCCCGCTGGTCTCTATCGGCTTGGAGATGAATGCAAGCATATGACGGTCGAGTAAGATGATTGCCTGTAGTGTCACTATCTTCGGGGAGGAGTCAGTCCTTTGACGGTGAAGACAGTAGCCCTAAGTACGCCTACGTGGTTGACGATGAAACCATGCCGCCCGAGCCATCATTACAATATAGTAGATTATGTGTATGTACAACCGAAGTGCTTTTGTCATGTCATCATGCCAGAAAGTAAGAGAAACTGAGGAAGGCAATACTATCGGAAGATTCGTCTTCCTCCAGCACTGCCTGCATTCCAGGTGACTGATCCCCTCACTCCCAAGTTGCCCATACTCAAACCCGAGAAACCAACACCACCGCCCTCGCCATCACGCTTGTACCGCCGTAATGCCTCGCGAAGATGAGAAGGCAGGAGCTGGCCCCGGTGAGGATTAGGCGGCGGTTTGAATTCCCTTTTCGGTCGTGCTGGAGGGGGTTGCTGTCCTTGCTGCTGCTGTGTAGGAAGGCCAGATATAGAAGGCGTGGACGGTTGCGAGCCCTGCTGTTGCGGCATGGGGGACGACAATGAAGGAGGGATTGGGGTTGAGCGGTTGCTGTCCGAGTGCTCCCTTTTGACAGGCGGCTGCGGCGGGCTCTGTCCCTGACCCCCCGTCGCGGGCGTAGCGGAAGCCGCTGCCCTCGCGGCTGCTTCAGCTGCCCTGGCCTCGGCCTCGGCCTCTTCAGCATCAAAGGCAGCGCGTGCGGCCTGATCATGCGCGATAGCCCACTCGGCCTGGACTGTCCTCGCCTTCTCGATGATCTCGCCCGCAAAGACCTTGGTGAAACCGTTGATGGTCGTCACAACGCTGGCGGGAACAGACTGGGACAGCGCGTGGTTGACAATTCGCCGCAGTGTCTCCTTGCGCAGCTTGGCCCGCTTGAACAAATCGTATCGCTCCGACTGAATAGGATTAAACGCATCCACCAGTAAACTGTGTCCCAAGAATCCAACGTCAGCCTTGAAAACACACTGGGTCAGTAACAGGGCGAGAAACATACGCAAGATTCTTCTTCTCGGCCTCCGTATCCGTCACCCCTTCCTCACCCCTCAGGAGCTCCCCCTCGTCATCGAAGTCCTCATCCTCGTCGCCATCCTCCCCGGCCGCATCCCCCCTCGCCGTCCCACCAGCCCGAACAGACATCCCATCCGCATCCACAGACCCCAGTCGCGTCTCCCCGCGCAGACTCGCCGCATCCTCCCGCTGCTCCCGCTCCCGCTCCTTCTCGGCTTTACTCTTGCGCCCGCGTTTCCCCTTCTTCGCCGCCCCCAGAAACACCCCGTCTGCGCTCGTCCCGCCCAGACTACCTGTGAAACTGCCCGTCACACTCCCCGCATCGCTAGTGGCGCTGAATGTACGCTGATCATTGTCTATACTGGCGGGGAAGGACGTCTGCCGAAGGGGGTGCATGCGTGGGCGTTTCGGGTTGGTGCCGAGAGGCTGTGAGGCGGAGGAGGAGATGGAGGGCCGTTTGAGGGGATTTGTCGGCGTTGGGTGAGGTGGCGGTGATGACATTGTGAGGGGTGTGGTATTAGAGAGTAGACAAATGAGTCAAGTATGTAAGCTCCAGTAGGGGCTCTTGGATGTCTTGTTGATGCTCGCCTTGACGGAGGTTGCTCGTTGGTTTGATATGAGTCGGCCGTCTGGCTGACTATGTTGGTCCTGTCTCTTCCACCGTTTGACCGTGAAACGCAAAGAGAAAAGCCCAAGTCTATTCTCTTGTTGTAGTTAATTATGAGAAATTCGCGGTCAAGCTTTGGCGCAGCGAATGGATGAAGTTGAAGGTATGCTGCAGCTGCGAAGTGATCCCAACCAGAAAGAAACTCCGGACCGATCTGGCAGGTCTGCCGATCCGTAATCGATGCCAGTTGGCGCAGGCCACCGAATCCATAAAATCCACACTTTACTAGCAGTCTACTTTTTTGAACTCGGATATATATTCTAGATGAAATATATTCATCTACCACAGAAAGAAAGTATGTATACGGATTATAATCTGATGTTCATTGCAAATGCTCGAGTAGGTCAATGCAAAATCACAAGAGTAAGGACAGCACATTGGAGTCAAGTAGCTTTATACACGAAACGAACGCTCAAATTCTGGAAGAATTATCTGCAAGCTCAAATGAGGGAAGCAAAGGCTATTGACTGTTCAACGCATACTGGGCAAAAGAAGAAGAAAAATATGTAGAAGGCGACTATTTCCATCTCAAAAGAATGTCCGACCAAATTCCGCAAGAAAAGATATCTCGACGTGCTATGGCTTGTTCTTTCAAAATTTCTCCTCTCCCAGCCGAGGGGCCCCCCCTTTCCAGTCCAGGCGTTCGTAGTAGCGGAACACAAGCTCATAGCCGTCGAGATCGTGGACAATCCGGTCCACGCGGCGATATCCCTCCACATGTTCCATTTTGGCGGTCCGACGAGCGGCCAGGTACTTGGCTTCCTTCCACTCGTCTTCGATCTGGCTCAGCGCTGGCTTGGCCTCAAAGAGCGTGACGCTGAAGCGGCCAGGCTTGAAAATGTCGACCACTTGCTTGATGATTCCAGCAGTGGTCTGGCCGTTCTGCGAGTGCGGCACGTTGGTCTCAAAGGACGCATACGAGCAATGCGGCTCTGGAGTGACGTGCACCGTGAAGTAGTGGGTACCGCTCTTTCCTTCAGGAGGCGGAATGACGCCGTTGGCGGAGAAGCCACATGGTGTGAACAGGTAGGCATCGATGCGCGATTCGGGATACTTCTCCTTAGGATACACATCGGAAAGACCACAAGCTTCAGAAACGACGGTTCCGAGCGCATGGCCCTCGGTGGTCAATTCCGGAGGCAGAACCCGGCTTCCTTCGGAGTCCAGGTCGCTCATATCGGAGGAAGTATTGCTGAACACATCGACATGGTCACTATTCTCCGTATCGAAGTTGCGATAACGGGTCTCTGCAACCGCGGTGGCATGCTCGAGGTAGAACTGCTTGGCGTTCTCCTCGTCCAGATCGGTCATCAAGACTTCCAAAGTCTCATCCTGAGTATCTGCCTGCAGAGCAGCGCCCTGAGGTACGCTGAGGATCTTAGTCTCCGTTTCCGCAAACTCGGTCTTCGCTCCCGGGCTCGTTGGCGGGGTGAGCATGGTATGAGGTTCAGTCAGGTACAAGTACCAATGCTCGCCGTTCATCTTGCCAATCATGTAGGCGCTACCGTTGAGGAAGAGCTTATCCATAGTCCGCACTTCATCCCTCCAGCTGCGGTGAGGGCCGCGCTGGCGGTCGGGGAACAGGAAGTTCTTTCGGCTGTAGAACACGCGGTAGGGCGCGGCGGCGACGGAGATTCCGCGAGAAGGAGCGGTAGACTTGGGAAAGCCACCGAACAAAGCGGCAATCTCGAGAATGCGTGGCAGACCGGACAGAAGAGTGGTGGTACCACAGGTCTTCAGGATAAGTTTGTGAGGCCAGACGAACATGCTGGACTCGGAGAGCAGGTAGGCATCCACATCCTCCGACGAGACAATAGAAAGGACCTGACAATTGACGAGATCCAACATGTCCTTCCAGATCTCCTCGGGCACAGCTTTCAAACCGGCAGGCTGCGCCGGACCTAATTCCTGAGCGGAGGGCGCGAACCACACCTCCAAGAGTTTCTCTGGACCTATGGGCTGTCAGCGTCTGCCCAATGCTGCTTTCAGACATGTCATCGGCGGAAACATACCTTCAAAAGCATTGGTAGAATCAAGATCCTGCGTTGCTTGGTAGTTGATCGTCAAGGACGGAGTTCCGGCAAAGGAAGACGGCGAAGCCGTGTAATTCTTGGGGATGCCGATGTAGACCATTTCCGCTGATTGACGTAATGAACTGTGGAACGTAGGCCGGTGCGAGACCGATTATTGAAACGAGAAGCAACGCAGT